TGGTCAGAAAGGTGGAGGGGCCAAAAAAAAAGAAAAAAAAAAGGGCCCGGGTTTTCCAAGTTGTAAAAGATGGCAGTTCGTTCGCTTACGGCGCCATTGAAGGGTTATTTCCCCGTGCCTTTGGTGGGGGTTTTTGTATTAAGAAAAAATGTGGAATAAAGTAGCCAATCGGGGAAGTGGGGTTGGGGTGGGGTTGGGGTTGGGTTTGGCGTCCCCCGTCCCTTTTTTATTTCTTCATAAATTAAACTTCTCGGGAGGGGGGTCCTTTTTCATTGGGGGGGGGGGGGGGGGGAGCAGACAAGAAGACTTGCCACGCCGTACGATTTCGAGAGACTACCTCAATCTATGCTCCACTGCCGTGCAATGGCGTCTGTTTTCTTTCGTGCAACTTCAGAAAAACATTATCCTTTCGTCTTTTTTCGCGAAAACAAAAATACGAGCGCACCTCAAGGCAAAGTTGATGATCGATTTCGCCGCCTCTTCCGGCTGGTCCTCCTGAATGCTGTGCCCGGACCCGTACACCAGCTTCAGTTGGTACCTGTCGAATAATGCACGTTGGGTTTTCACGCATGCGTGCGCGGGGTCTCAAAGCAGCTCTTTTATTCTATCTACCAACTATCTCTCGTTTTTCTCCCCCGTCTCCAATTCTATCTTGACTGGCCACCATGCGACCAAGTAAGCATTTGTGTAGGGTGTGCCACAGCATCCCACGCCTACACATTATTTTTACTTGGTTCGTTTGGAACAACTTCTTCGGCGCGCACCTTCCTTGCATGTGAGCGGCGGTGAGCTCCGTGTCTAGCCTATCCATACCCGCCACTATCAGCAGCTGCCGTGCCGACCCGTGATAATGCACCGTGCAGTTTGCCGTAGTTCGAGATAAAAATCAACAATTGTCGGGAGGTGCGCCGTGGGGAAGGACGGACGGAGGGGGGGGGGGCGAGGAAGGGCCTCGTGAAGAAACGTCAGGGCGGCACTTACGGCTGTATCCTGGGCGGTTGTTGGGTAGACAAGTTCCTGGGCTGCGCGTGGTCCAGGTAGAAAATTTCGAGTACATTTCGTTTTGTCCCAACAAAACATGGGACGTCGTATGCACATTGCAGCATCGGCAATCAGGATGGTCTACATCATGCCCAAGGAAGAGCTGCCGCCGGAAAAATTGGGTATAGAATTTACACCAAAAACACGTGGTACAGTTTGCTGATGGCATGCTGGTTCGGTCGTTCTTTCGTCGCCCTGAAAATCAATGTAGCCACACAAGCTTGTGCTCGCCGTAGCACGACACATGAGGATTCAAACAAGTAGCAACGGCAGCAGCAGCAACAGGAACCGCAACAACGACAACAAGAACCGCAACAACATAACAAGAACCGCAACAACAACAACAACAACAAAAACGACAATAAAACAACAACAAAAACGACAATAAAACAACAAACACAACGAGAGCAAACCTTTGGAACAGGCAGCTCCAAGAACGCCTTGGACATGCCCTCGAACCAATCTCGCCAGTGCCTCTCCGTCGCACGCAGATCAGTTCGCCACACCACCCGCCCATCCCGCGCTGTCCCGCCAAATTTGAAAAGAGAAAAACAGAGACAGGATGTTGGCGGGGTTGGCAACATGTTAAGTTATCTCCAGACGAAAGGTGAAAAAAAACTAAAGACACGTGGGGGGAAATACTGACGGGGATAAAAATGGAAAAAAGGACAAATACGACAGGTAGCCTCGGGAAAGAGGTGAACAGAAAAATACGAAAAACAGGGGACTGAGAGAAGAATCGTGAAAACGGAATGTAGACAAAGGAACCAAGACAGGAGGAGTGCGTGCTACAATACATCAACAATAAATGCCGAGACTTATCAGCGCAGACCCGAGAAAACAAAAACAAAAAAGGCTACAGAGCGAGGAGCGGTCAAAATTGCCCTCAAAGTACCATGAAATATGTGGGGGGGGGGGGGTACGTCTTGTGCCAAACAATACAGACACGAGCAATCAACAGGCAAGGAAGACCGGGGCCGACTTCGTTGAAGGCGGCTGAGCGCCGGCAGCGGGGGGGGGGTTGCATAGCTCGGGGCTTGCAACCCGCGGGCGGCGCGTTTCCTGACCTGGGTCATTCTTGAGGCGAGAGGGCACGACGGCGTGTGCCGAGGAAGAGTTCCTCACCGCCCCCGTCTTAACATGCCACCGCACGGCGTCCTCCATGCTCGGGAAACTTCGGGGAATCTTCCGAAGAATCTGAAACCGAAAAAAACATGTTGAAACAAAAAGCCATGGTATTGGGAAGCGTTTGTTTTCACTTCGCCAGAGAGCGTGCATCGTGCAGGCAAACGGTACAGGACAAGCGCTACAAAAACATCATCGCCCTCAAGTCGACTACAAAGGAACGGCAACTACAGCAGTCTGGGACGGGGTGTGATAAGTTTGCTGATTGCTGGTTGTGGTAGACGGCCGCGGATAAAGATGGCGCTCATACGATCTAAAACTTGAGAGAGTTCGACGTGCGAGGACGCCATGATCGTCGTCCTCGACTTGACAATTAACAATCGTTCCCGGCTCTATCCCCGGCCTCGTAATCCGGCAGAATCTCCGAGGCAAAGAAATGAGTACCATATTTCCGGGCGAATGTCTTTGTTGTTACAATTTCAAACAGCTTTTAGAAAGTATACAGAATCTCACCGAAAGAATACCCGTTCGAGATATAACCACAGCAGTCGAAGGGGATGAGCTGAAGTCTTCACAGCAGTGAGTGGAGGGAAACCGGCTGGATACCGGGACTGTTTTGAGTTTGTTTAAGCCTATACACTGAATTGTTTCAGTGATGCCAGCTGGTGCTAAGAACAAAGGCATCTGTATAGGTATTAATAGATAACATTTACAATACACCTCCTGTACAGTTCTCTACTGGGTCAACGACAAAAATTGTGTTGGAAAGGCTGAGGGGTCGGCCGCTCTTGCCACCGAAAGGTCGATCAATCCGCCAATGTTGTCGGGTCAAGCGCCATGCTCTCTACGAAAACATCGCACGCAAACCGCCTGCACGGCCCCGGCCGGAACTCAACAGAACAAACGCCAGCGAAACCTTTTCGTCAGCCAAGTCACCATCCTCGGACACAACGACGGTATTCTCACACAAGCAAGCGTACCGGGATGGCCTACCTCGGGCATGTCGTCCAAGGCGGATAGCGCCGTCCCCTCCACCACGTCCACGGCGACGACGCCCGTGATCTCCGCGGCGCCCCCGCAGCGCCGCCTGAGCTCCCCCGCCGCGCCGGCCACCCGGACCGCGATAGAGCCGCCCAGGGAATGCCCCACCAGGAGGAGCCTGATAGTCGGGCTGCTGGTGCTCGAGCTGCCGCTCGCGCTGCCGCTGTGTGCTTCTTCTGCCGTAACGTCATTCGAAGGGGTTTCGGGGCTGTCGCGCTGTGGTTCTGTCGCGCTACCGGTGGTGGTGGTGGTGGTAGTGACGACGCCGCTTTCGTGATATTTTGAGCCCCGGGGTGGGGGGTGTGGGCCGCCGCCGCTGCCGCTGCTGCTGCTGCTGCTGCTGCTGCTGCTGCAGGACGAGGACGACGCGGGGCTTTTGGCAACCGGTGGGGGATGGGGTGGCGGTGAGGTTGTCTGCAACGGTGTTTGTTGTTGTTGTTGCTGCTGCTGCTGCTGCTGCTGCTGCTGCTGCTTCTCCTTCTTCGGCTGCTTCTGTCGCTGCGGGAGTTGCGGCTGCAACAACATCCCGCAGCTGAATATCTCCACGAGAAGGCTCGTCACGTCTTCCGCTAGGCTATCCAGGGACATGAGCGGGGTATCCGCGCCGCCCTCGCCGCCGCACTCATCACCGTCGGCGGAGGACGTGAGGCCGTGACCTCGCAGATCAGGCGCGACAACGCAGCAGTGGCGCTTCATCACGCCCGCCGCCGGTGCCCAGGACATGCCTGTAAAGCCACCCTGATTTTTGTTAAAGGCACATCAAGCAGTAAGCAACAAAGAGAGCCAGAGAAGTTGGGGGTCGCGCCTATGTGCGGGGAGTGTCCAGGCGGCGTTTCCTTCAACCAGGGAGCAGCAGAAAAAGCACCTGCTGCTCTGCACCTTCGGGGCTACCTGGATATGAGCCTCCAAATCGACTGCAAGCCGACTGTTTCGTGTTCCACCAGACCCAACCCCGTAAGCGGCCGGAGATTCGACACGTCAATTTCAGGTCAAGGCTTAATCTCTTAATGCATCCCAACCGTCGGGCACAGGGTGATCAATCGTCAATCGTAGAGTGCAAGAGTGTAGTGTGGGAGGCACCTTGGAGCTGTGCTTCGCACCCAACGTTGTACTGCTGTAGCCAGAAGGGTTCATATGCATCATCCATTCCGTTCCTCTCCCTGCCTTTCCCTCCAGTACCACAACGGCTCGAATTTTACAAGTAAGTTTGATCCAGTGAGACTCGTACCCTCCATCTACAGATGCATCAGAAGGGTACGAGGTTACCAACTGGACCACCCGGAGGCGATGCATTCACTAGAACTACAGCTGTAGCCCAGTTTAGGATACAATCACTCAGGTTTGAATTGGTCTTCGAGGCGCGGAGGTCCTGTTGCTACGAACACCTGAGACGTGCGCGCAGCGAATCCCATCTCTGCAGCAGTTATTAGTGTTCTCACCCCATGGAGCACCACCGCGACGCCATTTGTCGCCGCGAGCTCGCGCCCTGACACACGCACGAAGAAGGTCGTGTGTTCTCGGCCAGGCAGATGCACCTCGAAATCCTCGTCAAAGCCCGACCAGGACGGCACGTGAGCCGCAATTGCTGATGCTGCACCTCCCAGTTGCTTGCCGCTGCCAGCAGCAGGCCAGGAGGCTGGAGGCGGCGGCGGGAGCTGAACTCGACGATCGCTGCTACCAGGTCCCTCGTGGCCATCGCCTTGCGGGGGTCCCATGCTATCAGTCAGGAGGTGGGGCACTGCTATGTAGCGAGCCCGGGGAAGGTGAGACGACCGGAGGCAAACCGAGGAGAAAATATTATCACATTGCCAACCGAGTCGCAGAGAACCAAAAGTCAAGCATCCAGGGAGACACGGAGAACCTATTGGTGCTACATAAAAAAAAAAATACTGTATGGTGTATATAGGTGCTATCCCCCGTTAATTCCGCCGCCTCTGCGGGCCAATCAACAGGCCGCGAGCCGTTCCAGGTTCCAGGTTTTCTTCGAAACTTCTAGCTACTCTCGCTCATCAATCGCACCGATACCGCCGCTCCTTCGAGGTAGCTACTGCTGTGAGTGCTCTCCACGCAGAATGACAACAAGGTCCTGGCAGCCTCTCTGTTTCGTACTGCTGCTTGCGCTTTCCTCCTGCCAACGGGCGTCGTGCTCGATAGATAGTAACCCGGTACCGTCGACCGCTGCTGCTACTACTGCTGCTGTGCTCTCCGACTCGGCTCCTCCCGTTGATCATCATCGGCAGCACGTTCCGGAAACCGACGATATCGGCGGAGCGGATCCCGACAGCTGCCTAGCCTCTCAGCACCAGCACCAGCGACAGCGGGGGGAGAACATGGTGGTGAACGGGGAGGAAGGGACGAACAAGAGGCCTCACTCTCCGCCTGCTTTGGACGGGGATGAGGTGGTGGTGGAAGTCCGCAAGGGTAAAGAAGCTGCGGCGGCTTCGACGACGACAGCTCCCGGGTCAACCACCGATGATATGGAGGACGAGGGGCAGGAGGGGGTAGACAGTAGCAGCAGCATCCCGGAGAGATACATCGTAGGGTGCGGAGGCGATGTAGCGGAAGCTGGCAGACGGTGAGCCTTTGGAGCACACGCGTTTATTTGCAGAACTCTCTTGCCAATTCCTGAGACAGATTCTGAACGGAGTCTTGTCTGTTTGTCGATCCAGTGCACAATCATCGAGAGAACCGGTTCTCTTCACACACGGATACACGGATTACATGGCCTGCTTCCCACGCACACACTGACACACCCTAGACCGACACCCGTTCCTTCCCTCTCTACCTACCTTCTCCGCAGATGGAAGGCGACTGTCGAGTGGAGAAAAGAGAACAAGGTGGACGAAATTTTGGAGACACCGCAGCCTCACTTTCACGAGTGCAGGTGATGAACCTACATCAGAGTACGGGGGTTCGGGGGAGAGAGAGAGAGAGAGAGAGACAGAGAGAGACAGAGAGAAGAGAGAGGGAGGGAGAGAGAGAGGGAGAGAGAAAGAAAGACAAAGAGGGAAAGAGAGGGACTGAGAGGAAACACGGTGCCTTGGTGCCCCGTAAAACTACAAAGTGCAAACTGCTTTGCCACTTACAACAGGACAGCCGGGTATCGAAACCACAAGATGGCCGTTTTGTTGTCCCACGACTCCTGCTGCTGCTGATGATGATGTTCGCAGGCAAGTGTTCCCCGTGTTCTTGCACGGGCGGAGCCGGAAGGGGATGCCGGTGCTGTGGGAGCGCATCGGCAAGGTTGATCTGGTGAAGGCGAACGAGCTGGAGCTGCCCCTGTCGGTGCTGACGCCGAACTATGTCTTCCTCAACGAGTGCGTGTGGAGATTAATCCTGGACAAGGGTGAAAACGACAACGATGACGCCCAGGTGGGGACGGATCACATGAACGTGCAGCACGCAAGAGCGCCCCATGGTGGGGTAGCAGGGCGGGTTCCGGGTGATTAACAAGTCGCCCGTGTGGTTCATTATGACGACGCCTTCAGTGGCTTCGGTTGAGCCGCGTTCTACCCACACAACCCCTCTCCACCTCCTGTGCACCCTGCTGCCGTATGTGCGGGCCGTTGAAATTGTCTTTGTTCCACCTCTCGTTCAAGTCGGCGTTGATTGCTGACCCGGGCTCACTACAGTGCTTGTGATTGTTGATCCTGGCGTGTCGGTGCCGTTCATCGCTGACATCGTCGAACGCAGCGTCACTGCTACCGCCCTCACCCGAAGTCTCACACGCCACGTTCCTCTCCCCCTTCCTTGCGCGTGCTGGCGCCGTCGGGCTGCGTCGGTTTCTCGTACCAACCCTTCTTGGTGGCGGCCCGTGCCGTAAACGTAAAAAATGCAGTTCATCACGGTGGAGGACGTCGCCGGAGTCCGGCCGTGGCACCTCACCCCCAAGGTCCTTTCGGTCCTGCGCGCGCTAACCGGGACCATGAAGGCGCACTACGTCGAGAGGTATGTGGTTCCCGAATGATTTAGGACATAGGATGCGGTACAGTGGGGTACCCTGAATATGGCGGTGGTGGGGGCAGCTGAGAATGACCGCCTTATATTGTATGGGGTAGCCGCCTTATTCAATGTGTATGCATACAACAACTTGAATATTTCGTCTATGCCAGACAATCCCACCCGCCTTGTCTCTAGGGCGACCGCCTTGTGCGGGGACCCCCACTGCTGTGCTCAGCTCAAGTCACTTCTCATCTGTTGTGTTCATGTTATCGAAGGTTTGTGGGCTCACGTTCAGCTGCATAATCTCAAACAACGGAACTGTGTGACTCGGGCGAGAGGGGGCTCGCTTCCCTTTGTAGCCCCAGCGGCATCTTCATGGAGCCTACAGTAGTGTGGTCGAGTCCTGCCCCCCACCCCTCGCTGACCATTGCTCCGTCAATGATTTCTATCGAGCCATCCCGACCCCTGTTGCTTGCGTGCCTTTCATCGTCGACTTGCTTTTTCAACACCCAGGTGTCACAAATCGTACATTATCAATGCCCCGCGAGCATTCACGGCTCTGTGGCGTGTAGTCTCGGCCATGCTAGACGCCAGGTGAGCACCGCGATTTGGCCGCTGTACTGCTATCGTGTCGTGGCCGGGAAGGATGCATGTGCTTGTGGTTCTGCTGTAGCTTTGTCATTGCTGTCGTATTCGTTGTCATCATCGTCGACGTTGTCGTCGCCGTGCGGTTTTGTTTTTCGGAATTGTCGACATCCCGGCGGCAGTTGATACCGTGTTTCGTGGTTGCTGTTGTTTTTGGTGGTGATGGTGTAGTTGTCGTTGGTGTTGTATTCGTGTTCATCGTCGTCGTTATCATCACCGTCGTGGTTGCGTTTTTGAGGAGTGTCGACCTCCCCGCGGCAGTTGACACCATTGCTTCTTTCTTTTGTTTTCCCGGGCTCTGTGCGTGCTGACTTGCTGCTGATGCTCGTTTGTGCACACGCCCGTTGGTTTCTGGAATACGTGCAACTATGAAACAGAACTCGTGCCAAGATTTCTATTTTGGGGACGAACTACCTAGAGGAGATGAAGGAAGAGATCGACATTTCCCAGATCCCGCCAGAGTACGGCGGGAGCAGCGGCAGGGCTATCGATGACTCGGACGATGAAAGGAAGGTCAGTAGGTTACAGTAGTCAGGAATTACCGTGGGACTTTCATCGTGCAGAACAGGTTTGGATGAGGGTCAACCTTTTGATATGTGCGCTTGTTTGGGATGAGAATCGTAATCGTATGCGAGGGTTTGGAGGACAAAGGTGGTTTGATTCGCTTCAGCGATGGCAGCAAAGTAGAGAGAGACTGGAACTGCCACAAGTGACTATATTAAAAAAAAAAACAGGATCAGTGCATCATTTGCTTGGTCGTGGGAATGGGCACGCAAGTGTAGTGGTGTCACAGCCGCCTGGATGCTGAACAACACCCGGCGACGGCGACATGGCCGTGACAACGAGTTAGTTCGGATTCGCCCCCACCCCCACCGTCCGCTCTGAAAGCTGTCTACATAGTCTGGTCATGCTTTGCAGGGATGCCAGGGTATATACGCCGCTTGCACAAGTGCCGCTAGGGTCGTCTTGGCGTGAACGCGCAGATGACCATAAAGCCAAGGGCAAGCCGCATGTGGGCTTTTGGATCACCTCGTCCAGTAGTGGGAGCGCGGCTCAGTCTCGAACCAGATGCGCAGTAGATCGCCAAATGACAGCGGCAAGCAACTAAAGAGCCCCCCCCCACCGTCTTCGTACCATGTCGCCCCCCACCCAAACAAAATATCCCTCATCATGAGTAGATCCAAGCGCTAGTAGCTCGGCTCAACTTGGCGGCGGAAGGGCAGGGAATTCCGCAGAAGGCTGCCGGAGATGGTGGGAAACCCGCAGACCCCACCGGAAAGAGTCAGGGCGGAAGCTGACGGGATTGCTCACGGCTGTTTTGGACAGCTGACGATCGAGTACCTCGCATAATATATAGGAAGTTTGACGGTTTGTGCACGAGGAGAAACGGCGTGGGTGACGGCTGGTGCAGCAGCAGACGAACCCTGTGCTTTTCCGATGAACGCGTCTTGACCGGTGGCTGCTGCGCGAGGGGGGGCGGGGGGGTGGCCAAACCGGACGGGTCTCATGGGATCCGTTGCGTAGAGCATGAGCTAGCTGATGGAAGAACCGGTCCAGGAGCCACCGCACGCAGCAGTGTGAAGATGCTTAGGTAGTGTTAGGCTGCTTGATGCGCCGTGGGAGACAAGTACGGGCTGTGATACGTGGCGTGCTCGTTGTTGATTTTTACTTCGTTATTCATTGTTTGTGGCGATTTACTATGTAGGCGATTGTATGTGATCGACCCGGATGCTGTGGAGCAAGTGGATAGAGATGGGAGCAGTTGTCGACTGAGAAGCAACGACAACAAAGGATCTATTCCACGGGGTATCTGGCTCTTCGCAGGTGTCGTTGCTGTGCGCTTATCTTTGCCACCCAGATCGACCGGATACTTTGAGGGTCCGGGTGAAGGTTGCCCACTCAGCCGAAGCCCCCCCCCCCCTTTGTGCTGTGCGGGTGCTGTCTGATGGTGTTCTCTGTGATTTCGGCGTTCGGCTGTGTGGCGTGCTTTGCCATGCGTAGTATACCTACCTAGGCTATTTTCCTTTGGCTTCTTGTGTGACCCCGGGTTGATACGTCAGATACACACTCCACGGACGGCGTGTAGACCGGCGCCTGAACAGGCGGATTGGACGAACACACACACGTAGGCTCTTTATCTTGTGACCGTGGTGGGTACACAGAAGTTGGTGTTGCTGGTTGCTGGTACCAAGTGGAGCAATTGTTTTTTTGTGTGTGTTCAGTCTAGCTGTAGTCCGTTGCACGAAGGCGTCCTCGAAACAACTCCAGGACAAGTAAATGGGGCGCGCAGGGATTGTGGCGGATTGCAGGTTGTGTTGACATGGGAGACAAGCGGTTTCCAAAGCCGTCCCTGGAAGTCCGCCCACGTGCCTAGTACTCTTGTCACCTCCTCACAACAGGGGACAAGATGTTGTTGCTGATAGGTAGCGTTCCGTGACGATTCCGAGAGAGAGAGCTGCCGTTGCTGTACGAGTGTTGTTTTGTTCTCCGCGCATCGTGCTTGAATGAATCCACGTGGGACGAGGGAAAATGGGGGAAATACTACATATAAAAACATGGGGCTCGTCTTCCCGCATGCACGTCTGGCCGTGGGCTACGAACCCCGTTGCGTCGCCGTGGAAGCGCTCTTCTAGCTGTTAGCACTGTCAAGGGTGATATAGACCAGCGGCGTAGTCGATCTGAAATGCAGACTAAACTTCCCTCTACTGGTATGTAGTGCTGCATCAGTACTACATCAGTCAGAGGTAGGTAAAGAGGCAGAGGAAAACAGGTAGGTGCGGTCTGGGTATTATCTGCCTCTGCCCCGAAAGCTTGAACCGAATCAACACGGTAGGTAGTCTTTCCGCAGGAGCTCCGCACAGGGTACCATCTTCAGTGTTGATTTATTTCAGACGCGTTTCGTCTCGCTCACAATACAACCCCCCCAAAATACTGACCCTCCAGTGCTAAACATATACTGTACCGGACAGGACTCGGCTGCCCCCCGTCCCCTCCCGCCTGGCCTCCGTCGCACACTGCTCTCACATACGAGCTATTTTTCTAGACTAGAGAAACATGGAAAAAAAATGTAAGAGAGAGTGGTGCTGTTTTCTTGTTTTCGAATCCAGGAACGATTCGGCAACAAACGCCCACGAACTCGGGACCCCACACGACACATCCATGCCTACACTGCTTGCTGTCCTACACAAAACCGATCCCCAAGCACCTCACCCCACCCCACGAAGATGGTTCCCAAGCCGACCGCTGTAGGTTCTGCTGCCGCTACAGCTGTAGGTGCTGCTGCCGCGGGCTTTCCACGGTGGGGAACGCCGCCGCCCACGGAGCGGCTCTGGTGTGACTGACCTCTCTCTCTCTCTCTCACGCGCACTTGCAAACCCAACCCGCCGCACAACATCTTTGCACAGAGCTCTCTCCGTTTCACGTAAAAGCGCCATTGCTGTCTCGAGAACCTATGGGTCGCACGCAAGGAGAGGGGGAGTGGGTATGCCCTTCCCTTCGTCCCGAAAAAAAGAACAAAAAAAAATAAAAAAACACATATGAGAGGCTGGATGGCAGTTGGCCAACAACTCGTGTAGTGTGCGTATTTACCTAGTAAGTGACCGCTCCTGATGTCAGGATGTCGCCTTGTGACAAATCCATCAGGACTCCCTCCCTGTATTGCCCCCCAACCCCTGTTCACGATAAACACATCAACTCTAGCACACACAACACACGAAGGCAAGAACGTTCGGCCTTGATGATGGGAAAATTGATCAGGCGAAACATTCAAGCAACCTATGTCCCCCGCCCCCCTCACCTCCGCTGGAAGCAGTGCAAGGCTAGACCTTCTGACAATGGCGGCAGGGTACTACTGCGGTAGCGCGATCCGTTTGAACGTAAGAGATAATTGGCTGCCTACCTACCGCCCGCTCCATGAAGAGCAGGACGACGAGTGAACGATCGCATAAGAGGTGTGCGATGCTCTTTCGTCGTCCAAAAGTACAGAAAAGACACCCTGCTGCACCATAATAGCATCAATGCCGTCCGAGAGGTGACAAACGCGAGCACCAGCTGGCATTTGGTGCGGTGCAATTGACGGCACAGCTGACTGGGCAGCAAGGGGAAAATTCACAACTATCGTCGTTCCCAAAATCTGGAAGACACGGCCCACAAAACAAAAAATCTCCGCATTTTCCTGTCTTGTAAATTCTCTAGCAGACTCCATCTAAGCCCCCCCCTCCCGCTGCCGTTTTCATCCCCCTTTGTTAAAACCATGACCACGAGTGTTCGTGTATCATGCTCGTAATAAACCGAACCTCTTGACATCTTCTGCCCAGAGAATCGGACAACACTAAGTGACTCCGTACGCATCTTCTAGACTCCCCCCCCCTCACACACACGGCACCGGGTACACGAAAAACTCCATCCATTCCCGAGAGGAATCGAACAACATGATGAACGGTTTCCCTATCTTCCCCCTGACGAAAAAAACAAACAAAGTTCACCCAACAAACCGAGATAATTTGAACATGCACGTAATGCACCCTGCACCAACAAGGGGCATGTGCCCCCCCCCCCCCCCCCCCCATTTTAACCTCCCAAAATCCACTAAAAAATTTTGGGTTACAACCAATTTGGGGGGTTTTAAAAAAAAAACGTTTGGGGGTTTTTGTTTACCTCGGGTTCACCGTTTTCCCAAATTTTCCGAAAAAAAAAAAATTTGGGGCTTTTTTTTTTTTCAATTTTGGTGGCCCCGGGGGTGGGGAACCCGGGATTAAGGGGGAAAAATCAAAGGTCTTTAAATTGGCTCGGGGGAAAAAAAAGGGGGGGATTTAACGGGGGGGATTTAACGCGTTAAAAAAAAAAAAAAGGGGTTTGGTTTAATGGGTTTGGGGGGAATTGAAAAAAAAAAAAAGTAAAATTAATTGGGTTTTGGGCAAG